TTAGAAACACGACGCGATCCTCATGCCACATCACCACATCACGATTCAGCCCATAATGTTCCTTGCTGCTGTCTCTGCACATCTGCGTTCAAAATGGAATACACAAGAAAACGGCAACACACTAGCTATGTCAGGTGGTTGTAAAATATATTTTGATCTGAACTACCTGATTGCCTCACTTCTCCGCTCCAAGTTTGGAGCTAAGTGGGCGTGTGCACCTGACTCTACCTCAGGAATTTATCTTTAGGTGTGTCGAAAAGCAATGACGTCTACGCCTACAATGTTTACTAGCAAACAGACTCTCCTTCTTGGTAAATGTTTAATCGCTTGAGTGCAAAGCTCGCACTATCAAAGACTTTCCCGAAAGCCTAGGCCATCACACTACATCCCACAGCTAGCTGCTTAAGCACAATTGCAACTGTGCTTCCCAATGGCTAACTAGACTTTGCTTCATATTCAAGACTAACATTTTTATTGGCCCTAGGTCAGCTTGACTAACAATATTAGAATTTTAGAACCTAACCTTCCTTTAAGACTTCGATTAAAAATGATTTCAAATTGCAAGCACTAAATACAGGACCAAAATGTGGTAACTTGTGAGCTCAAACTTCAGCATGGATAAAAATTCTGAAGTGATATAGTCAAATTCATAGCCTTCTATTATCCTATCCACTAATGTGCTAAATTAACCCAGCAAAACAATCTGTTTCATAGGCAGATTCACAGTAATATCTTTGAACTTCCATCACTGTAAAGAGTACTTTTCAAAAGAATAAGATTTTGTTTCTGCACAGAGAGCCTTTTATTCCTGCTCATCAGGGTTTTGGCTGAGTACATAATTCACACTGGAAGATTATCAATTTCCATGCACGGATGTGTAGCAGGAAGACCCAGTGGGTATTGTGTTTTTCCATTTACATGTGCATTACTGTGTAATTACAGTTAAATAACGGTATAGTTTCTATCTAGTCTAACACTACAAATATATTATTGATAGAAGGGCTGAATTTATATAATCACTTCCCCACCCTCTATCACCAATTTCCAAGCTCTATACGTCCAGCACTCCAAACCCAAGGTCTTCACTCAGTCAAAAAACCCAGCCACCTAAAAAGCGATCAGTTGATGCAGCCGGGGAAGGGAAGTGGAAAGGGGAGGAC